CTCGGTACTCACGACAGAATCAAGGATCACCGGATCTATCTCCGGGGAAGAAGGATCTATGGGACCTAGAGTGAATGGGTATGTGTATACGCTGAGGAAACCAACTTTGTGGTCTACTATGCTTTCCTCAGGATTGGGAATATCTACTAGCACTGCCTTCCCCCATCGGCAGTCTTTCTTCACTCTATTCATATCGGTCACCACACTGATGTACCGAGACACGTGCTCACATCGGCCTGGTATAGAAGGGGGATTTTCGATGGAGAAATCGGAGACAGTATCGAATTGGGCAGGGGTACATTGCTTGATAGTCGGAGGTATTTTTGGTTTGCCCTTAGACGGGCGTGACGAAGAAGTGGTGCCCTCTTTTTGAGGTACCGTTCTAGAGGTTCTAGCCATAATTATAAAAAAGGTTTCTGAGGAAGAGGATAAAGAAACAAGTGCAGGAAGAAGATGGATGCAGAAGGTTGTGAACTTAGCCCTGAAAACTTGATGTTGTAAAAGTGTGAATGGCAAAACAAATTGAAGTATTTACAGAAGCCGTTTGGGCAATTCTTGAGGAGCGGAAAGGTCGAACCAATAGCGGTTCGTGGGCCTTTCGATAACGTGCTGACAGCGACCTCAGCAGCCTTTGAGTCATGGCATTTAATGCTCTGATGGGCTGACGTCATAATGGGAGTATCATAGAAGCAAGAGTTCAAGGCCATTTCTTATCATTTCACTCTAAGAAATGCGGGGACTATCTATATGCGGCTAAAATCGGAGAGTCCGATTTTATGATCGTTATGGCATTTAACAGCCCGTTTTTGGAAGCCTCGAAGCATATATAGCTCGAAGTTTGACCCCGGGGCTCGGGGCAGTGCAAATCTACGGCTATCTCCGACAAGCAGGAAATTCTCAATAGGCACGTGGTTAAAGCTGACCAGGTCTACAAGAATAGTACAAGTCCGTACCGTGACATTAAATGGCTGTACCAGCCGCATATCTTTGTAATAAATGGTTGTACCAGCCGCATATCTTTGTAATAAATACACATGTACTGTGTTGGGATTCCCCCTCCAATATAAAGGGGATCCTTGTCATTTTTTGCACACACAATATTCAATACAAGAACAAGAAGATTCTCCGTTCTCTTACTTAAACACATTCTCCCTTGATTTTATTGCTTACATTTATCATATTGCTTACATTTATTGCGTTTCACTAAATCGTTCTTAATTTATTGCTCATTATTGATCATAAAGAGCCATCACCAAGGCCCTTAGAACTGTTAGTCCTTCATTGGTCGTTCACACCCTAACGCTTAGCTCGACCTCGAGGCCCCGTATAAGCCAGCTCGAGGCCCCGATTCTCAGCCACTCGGTTTGCTTGTCACGCTACCTTCAAGCTCTGATCTTATTTTTTAGTCTCACACTTAGCATCTACTGCCTAACAACTAGCATAAAATATATCACGTATTTTTAGAACCACAAAATCAAATCTAATTGTAATTACCATTTTCAAGGTAAACAAGCCTGAAGATATTTTATTTTCTTCATTTTAGTTTTCAACTGTAATTATATTTTTACCAACAATTTTAAGGAGATTCAATTTTTTATGCAGTTGAAAAAATAGCGGATATCAAGACAGAAGTTCACTCTCTTTATGAGATTGAAAGGTAAAAGAAATGATATGGTTAACTCAAGCGGAGCAAAGGTGAAAATAATAATTTACCTTATATATTTTTTATGAGTATGTGATTATATTATTTATAATTTTAAATTTTTATAATTCTAGAAATAGCGGGGGTAAATAATAATAAAAAATTCTTACATGAAAAAGGAATATTCATTCATGAGTGAAAGTTGATTAAACCAAAGAGTGTGATAAGTGCATCTATCATAAGTCTTGGAATAATTCACATGTAATGTTTGCCTCTATGTTGATGATTTGCTAATAATTGGCTCTAACATTAATGTGATTGGAGAAACTAAGAGCGTGCTGAGTAGCCATTTTGACATGAAAGATTTGGGTGAGGCAAATTTTATTCTTGGAATGAAAATTATTAGAACATGTGATGGAATTTTCCTTGACCAGTCACATTATGTTGAGAAAATTTTAAAAAAATATAATTTTATTGATTGCAAGCATGTTGTAATCCATTTTGATTCAAGTGTTATTTCCTGTATAAAGTGACAATAATGTGATCAATCAAAAAGAACATACTAGCTTAATTGGAAGTGTGACTGATTACACTTGATTTGAGATTGCATACGCAGTATGAGTACTTAGCAGATTTACAAGCAAGCCAGATAATGAACATTGGCATGCCATAACATGAGTTATGAGATTGGAACATTTTATTTTTGAGAGGTGGTGCTATTTGTTGGAAATAAAAAAGAATTGCTAACTCTACCATAGAGGCTGAGCTACTTGCTTTAGCTTCAGCTAGTGAGAAAGCGAATTGGTCGAGAGATTTATTATTTAAAATTTCTTATTTTGAAAAACCAATTCTTTCTATTTTAATTTATTATGATAGCACCGCTACTATTGGTAGAGTACAAACTGTTATTAGAACGGTAAATCCAGACCCATAAGGAACAAATATAATATTGTGAGTTATTTGATGTTGATTATGTGATAATCTTGCAGATCCATTATACAAGGCCTTGGCAAGAGAAATGGTCTAGAGTACATTAACGGGGATAGGATTGAAGCTCATAAAATCATAAGTCATATATGAGGAAACCTAACCTGGGGACTAGAGATCCTATAACCAGGTTCAATGGGAAGAACGAATCATATGATGACTTGTTATGAAATGCATTATTATATTTATTATTATTTTCGTCCCTATGGTGTGAGTGCATTTATCCTGTAATAATATGCAAGGTTGAGTTATGTTAACTCTTAATGAAAATCTGTAGCTCGTATGAGTCGGGTGTTAGAATTACAGGAGTATCCTTGATAGATTTCACCTATGTGAATGTCGAAGTAGGCCGCTTCCTTTGAGAATTGGGCTTGTTCTCAAAAATACTCATGAAAACCGGGATAGCACAAGGCCGTAATGTGCTAGCTAATAAAGCTCATGTCAACTGATACTTTATTTCCCTAAAGTAGTAATAGTTCAAGTCTGAGACCACTACTGACCTTGGAGTAGAGATTGTTGTTTTACTAAGTGGAAGTTCTATGCAGAGCACACCTTCATTATGCATAATAGTCTCCCTTCAATGTAAACTCTCATATTTTAATATTCAAATGAGTGGGGGAATGTTGGTGTCAGTTCATTTTAATATTAAAATTATAATATTAAAGTGCATTATTTCTTGTGAGATAGTGGTTATAAATTGGCAAGAAAGTGGTCATTATTTTGGTATAACTCTTGAAACCACTAGTTCCACGATCAACCACTAATTACCCACTAAATATTAAATTTTATGACCACCAACCATGTTCTATAACTTTATTATGCCACTACTTTGTTATTTATTTCATGGAAGAAATTCTACACCTACAAATAGTGGTGTTTCTTCGTTGTGTTTGGTGTGGGAAAATATGGCAGTGTATATGGAAAAAGTGAACTTGGTGTAGTGAAAAAGAGAGTTAAGAGAAAGTGAAAAATCTAAGTCTCCAACTTATTCTCTACAAAGAGAATATTATTTTTGTAGAAGGAAGGTGTTCATTTTGGTGGAGCTTTGGACTCAACAACTTGTCCAGAGTTTGTTCGAGTAATACGACGTTGTCGGGTTGTTGTATCGGAGGGGACAAGTCAAGAGTATTATTGCTGGACCGGTGAAGATGCTACCGCAGTGGGCTTGAATCTCCTTAAAGAGAGCGAGATATCCGCACCTCAGCCTGAAGATATTTTATTTTCTTCATTTTAGTTTTCAATTGTAATTGTATTTTTACCAACACAATCATTCCAATGTCTTGTCCAAATCTATCATCAGATTGTGAACATAATCTTTATAACTTTTAAGAATCGATGATTTAATCTTTCCTGTATAAGCTAAACTCTATACGCTAAATCTACACAAGGACACAAACGAATACATGACCTATTTAATTCATTATTAAAATTCAATAAGTAATTATTCTATGGAGTAATAAATATTACTTCATCCATTTCAATTTATTTGAACTTATTTGATTGTGTAGAGGGTTATGAAAGAAATGAAGACTTTCAATAAATTGTGGCCCTAAATAAGTCATAACATTTGCATGGCCAGCTAAAATTCTTTTGAAATTTGTGGTGTTAAACTTGCCATAGTATTTGTGTAACTATATAAGCTTCTCATTAAGAGATAGAATAAGAAGCTTAAGATAAATTGTTTCTAAATTTAAAAAGGGGTCATTCCTTTTGAAATGGACCAAAAAATAAGAGGTTCACAAGAATTAAAACAGAGGAAATATATCTAAACATATGGCTAATAATATATATTCCAATACTAACAACCTCCTATATATGTTATTAAATTTTCCGATTTAACGACGTATTTATGGTTTTTGAAAAGATAAATACTCCCTCCGTTTCAATTTATGTAAACCAATTTGATTGGACACGAAGTTTAAGAAAGAGAAGACTTTTGAACTTGTGGTGTAAAATGAGGCACATATATTTTGTGTGGCTATAAATCATTGCATAAAGGTAAATTGTTTCCAAATAACGAAAGGGGTCATTCTTTTTGGCACGGACCAAAAAGGAAATAGGTTCACATAAATTGAAACAGAGGGAGTATAAACATTGATCAACAGTGAGCCTAGAGCAAACAGATCAGTGAGAGGGTTCACTAATTACGTATATATGTGTGTAATTATTACGTATATTTGTGTGTGTTAATTGCGTATACTTGTGTTTGTATTTGGTCCCGACAATACCATGCAAAAAAAGCATCTAACAAAAACCTTAGGGTGATACGTGGACCGGTGGAGCCAGCCAGCACGTTATATATTCATTTGGAAATTCTTAATTACCCGTTGAAGGACAAGTATATATATCCTCTATTGTACTGGTAGATTAGAAACATAAATAGTGGAATCGAAAGTAAATAATATAACGGCCATTCGATTCGTACAATTTCTCTTTTCCTCTTTATACAGAGAAATGGAAATCAGAGGTGGTAGCGAGAAATGTATGAATTACAAATAAATCAAAAAAGCAATATAATGAAACATACATGCAGATAGACAGTAGAAGAGAGTTAAATAATCAAAAGATTAATTCAAGACTCAAGCTGCAGCACACACCACAAGCACCGGGGTTTCATACTGCGGCTGCGGCTGCAAGTTCACTTGCGCCAGCTCGCCACCCGCACGTTCTTCATTTTCATGGTGGTTTGCCACCGGCAGCAGAGCTGGCACCGGTGGGCTAATTACGCTGCTCTCCCTGTTTTCTTCTTCATCCAGCTTCTTGATCATATCCTCGTTTTTCTCGGATTTGACAGGATGTATCTGTTCTGAGTTTCCTAGGACGACGATGTTTACTACATGCTCCGGCACCTTTTTGTCTAATTCTGCTGCTGGCTTTACCTTACGGTATAGCCCATACAACAGCATCTGAATCATTCCCAGGAAGAAACCCAACACATTCGGCAGCTGTAAAAAGTTAAAAATAAATTAATTACTCCAAAGATAAATGACGGAGTTCGAAGAGCAACGGTAAAATAATACTCCACCCATTCCAATTTATGCCGTGCTTTTTACGAAAGAAAAAAGAAGATTCTTTTAAATTTATCATCTAGAACAAGTTATAAAATATTCGTGTGGCTATAAATTATCTTATCAAAGGTAAAATAACAAATTTAAAGTTAAACTATTTTTAAATAATGAATTATAAATTTCTTTAAGGGATTAAAAAGAAAATTATGAAACATAAATTAGGATTGAGGAAATAGATCTAATGAGAAAGTATGCCTCATTATCATTTATTAAAAGAAACTTTTTTTGAGGAGCTTTTGGAGAAAGTTCAGACAAACTTAGTTTTGTGAGAAGTAAAAGAAAATAGTACTTACAAGTAATGAAGGCATATTTTTTAATATAAAAAAAATATACTAGTACTCCAACTAGTGGGATAAACTAATTAATTTTGGAATCAGTGATATTAAAAAAATGCTTAAGAATCATAGGAATAATTAAAGAAAAAATTAATGTCAGACAAAATGGAATTATACAATGAGATTTTTTAGTTTGGCTGAAATCTGCGGTGACCAATTTATGTCGAACAATTAATGTTGTGTATCGATTTGTAAACCATAAAGGCACAACATGTTCAAGATGAAGATTTGTGGTTCTTTTTTATTGCCTTTGTAAGTAGGTCGGTTTTAGTTGTCTAACTAGCACGTAACCCAAAATTAATTGTTCAAATGTATTAAAGAATACATAGTACTTTAGCATGTGGTTTAAGTACTTACTGCAATACACATGTCCTTTTGAAGGAGACCATAACAAAACCACATGATAGCACTTAATGTAAGAAAGAAAGACAGGGTGAAGGGCAGAAACTCCACACTCTTCGTCCGAACCACTTGAAACTGTAAAAAAGAAACAAGAATTAGAAATTTCTTTTTAATTTTATTACGTAGTTACTATGGGAAAACTTTTGAAACGATGTTAGTGCATCATCTCTATCTTACCACAATGCTAAGAGGTGCAGCAAAGACAGCCACTGCTACGGCTACACAAATCCAGCCCACTACTTGTACTCGAAGGGCTCCATTCAAAGGGAACAAAGTTACAAGAAATATCAGTGTGTACAATCCTCCAATCAATGATACCAAAAGTTTCACCGTCTGCCTCTGTTGTCAAAATATCATAAACTAGTTAGCACTCTATGTAACACTTTCTTACGTTCCTAGTCAGTATTTAACAAAGATTTTGAAAAAAAAAATAAAAAACTTCCCGACTGCAATACAGAATTGAACTGCACTACCATTTATGTCTTGGTGAAACTTTTTTCATTTATTAAGGGCCCATTTGGCCATAAAAAAAATTTCACTTTTTTCCGATTTTTTTTTTTACTTTTTTTCGAAATGAAAATTTTAAAAACTCCAGGAAACAGTTTTTGAAAATTTTCACTTCAGATGATTCACAAAAATTTAAAAACAACCCAAAATTATAATATTCATGTCCAAACTCAATTCTAATTTTCAAATATTATTTTCACTTTAAAAAAAAATCACTTTTTTTCTTGAATTTTACAATTCTTATGTCCAAACGCCCACTAAATCTTTCAGATTTTTAAATGTAAGTTATGGTGGGAAGTGCTTACCCTAGCCTCCTTGGATGCGTAGAGAAGGAAAATGGAGATGTAAATGGTCTCGACAACGCAACCGAAGGAGTTGATGGAGACGAGGAGAATGGCATTTTTCTTGATAAATGCATAATACATCCAGAGCATGGATGAAAACAGTGCTACCACGTAAGGGACTGATTGAAAACCCATGGTTGATTTTTCTTTGTAGATTCGGCGAAATGTTGGCCTGCAACAGTAATACAGTTGTTTTCGTGAAAATTTTCAAATTTAAGTGCATGACTGTCCAAGAAAAATAAATTAGACAAAAAAAAAAAAAAAAAAAAAAAAAAAAAAAAAAGCGGATTTCTTACACTGGAGCTAAGAAGACGAATATGGAAATAATGTTTCCTGAACCATACGGCAGAAGAAATACAAAGAGTTAGTGCTTTCATTATACGTGTGGGTGGATATGATGCTACTGCCATGAACTAGACAACTTAATTGGTCGATGAAATAAAGTGCAAGTGTTGGCAACCAAAATGGATGAAAATCAAGCACCGGGAAGGTTTGTCATGGAAAACATTCATGAGAACATGCAATTGACAATGTGAAAATTATAGTATTAAATAAGTAAAGTTTGGTCACATGAAAATTGAGCAAGGTGTTTTTGCACAATTTTTTGAACAAACAAGAAATGAAAGAGAATGAATGAGATGAAATTTGGGAAAGACAAGAAATGAATGAAACAGACATGTGAAACTTAGTTTTGCTTACCTAAGATTCCGAACACAAATATCCATGGATGGTGGAGGTCAAATATGGCCATTTCGACTGTTAAGTTAGGTTATATAAACAAGGGTTGAATGAAGAAGGCTTAAGGGTCTCTTGAGAACCCCTTTTGCTCTCTCTCTTCTCTTTATATATAACTAAAACCCACAATTTCATGCAAAAGGGGAGAGACAGGTATTTATAATGGGGAGAGGACCAGAAAAGTGTGGTTTGTGCATAGAACTCAATCATATTTATTGCATGACAAGTGTAGTCTTAGTAGGTGGCGTACGATAAAATCATTCACCCAAAATAATGGATTCTCAGCCTCACGTGCTCTCCCAATGCGTGCCAATCATATTAATTATTCTTATCATTCCACTTACTAGTACTGTTATTAATTAACATAATTTGGCTTCTAAACCTAATGCAGTCCAACCAACAGAATTACCATGAATTAATGCGTTAAGCTTAGGCAGGCTCACCGCTCCCTCCTTTTAGCTAGGAACTATTATTGTATTGTTAACAACTACTCCCTCTGTCTCATATTAATAATCGTGATTATTAAAAATAGTTGTCTCAAATTATTTATTATTTTAGATTTTAGAAATTCAAGATAAAATTGATTGATTTTTTTCTTTATTACCCTTTAGTAATAATTGTTCTTGATGATGGAGATAACACATAATATATAATAAATATTCAATAAAGACAGATTATATCTTAAGACATAAATAAGGGTAAAATAGTCCAATCACTTTTCGTATTAATATTTCTTAAGGGCGTGTAAAAGATAAACACGACGCATAATACGAGACAAAGGGATATATTAAAGTTCTTAAACCCCACCTTCTTTACTTTATTTTCGTTTTATACTTTTGATTCACACTCAATCAATTGATGAATCAATTACAACTCACTTCCACATTAGTTGAGAGTGACTACAAAATCCTTTGGCTGATATTTTTTCATGTTTAGAGGTAAAAACAAGAAAAATGGCAAGCAAAATCTTCGAGATTGTTCTCGTTCAACAACTCAATAATAAATGTCCTACAATGATATGCAGACCCTACAAAAGTGAGGGCGGGCTTGAACTCTACGGCTAGAATTCTACGTTTTTACGTAGACAGATATTGTGCGAGTAGTAAACAGCTTTTGCGTACTAGTGTTTTCTCGATTCCTCATTTCTTATGTCTTTTTGCCAATGAAATATGAGTTTGAATTCGCGTGAGTTTTGTTAATACTTGTGGCAATGGCTAAAACGATTTTTTTACGTTTTCTCCGTTAGAAAAGCCCTATTTCCCGTAACGTTTTAGCTCTTTTTCTCTAATGCTTTTCTTGTACATAACCAAATAATTGTCACTTAACTCACCGTTCTTGCTGCTGTTATCTGTTTCTTTAACGATGAAGAGAGGTGATGGAGCACGATTTGGTACACCTTGTTTTCTTGCGTTAAAGGTATTTTAAACCCTTTGGGATTCCTCTCTTTTTAGCTGAATTTCGAACGGTTTGTGCTTGATAATAGGACCAGTCCAATTTTAAATGACGTAATATTTCACAAAGCGTGTTATTAGATGACAGCCACCATTCATTCCCATTTCAGCTTTGGTTGTATATGATGATTGGTAGAATGCTAGTTGGAGGCCACATACATTGACACCTGTATTCCTTTTACGTAACCTTTCACATCTAGGAGTATCTTTTAACCAAACCATCATTGAAAAAAATATATTAGAAAAAGATCTATATTCCGTTATATGAACCTATTTTCTTTTTGGTTCGTTCTAAAAAGAATGATTTCTTTTTAAATTTAAAAATAATTTAGGTTAATCTTACAATTTTACCCTTAATGAGAACCTTTTATAATCACAAAAATATTCTGATCCTCTTTTTAACTTGTTTAGGACCACAAATTTTAAAAGTTTTTATTTTTTCTTAAACTTCGTGCCCAGTCAAACAGGTTTGCATAAATTGGAACGAAGGAAATAGTAATTAACCAGCACGAAGAGGACCGACCATAATTTACTTTTCCTACGACAGATAAGTTTTCCCAGACTTCTGACCGACAAAAGCTCGAATTATCATAATAGATGAAGATCTCTACTGATCCCCTCGAGTGAAGGTGATGTTAAAATATTTCTATTTTCCTTGAGGAATTAATGGTAAAGTGTCATTTCTATCATCCGGTTCAGTTGGTACGAGGGAATAAGGAAAAATCTTCCATAAGTTCGTGAATATAGGGGGAAAGAGAGAAAAGTTTCACTATTCCAATATTATAAGACAACAATCCATCCCTTTTAATTTATGTGATAATATTTGATTAGGTATGTAATTACCAAAAAAAAAAAAAAAATTATGACCTTAAATATGCATGATATTTATGTTGGCTATAAAAGTATATATACCATTAAGAATAAATAAAATAACAGTTTAAAAATTAAATTTTTTTAATTATTACCAAATAGAAAAAAATAGTTCACATAAGATGAAACAGATGGAATACAATAGCATATTCTACCATGCTAGAAAAAGGTATAATAGTGGAGTAATTAATACAACAAAAACATGAAATAAAAGAAAATTGCTTTGGAAAGCTCCATTATTTTTCTTCTTAATCTTCTCGGATTAATTTTTTTAAATTTTTGGCCCGGCGGCCAAAGTAATTACAGACGGTAGTTTAAATTACAGAATATATACACGGATTTTATATATATATATATCTTTTCCGGCTATTATTCTTTTGGGCTATAGTTATCCCATTTTTTTTCATATACTACGTTCTATCCGCTCAAACCAAACCCAGAAAAAAGGGTCATTTTCTAGTTTAAGTCCCACATGCACATCATAGAGAGGAAACATATCAGGTATTTAAAATTTAGGCCAAGACCATGTTGTGTATCCAGTTGTGTGATGTGTTTTTTTTTCTAATAAATGAGTTCATTTAATCTTCCGTGTCAATAATATACGAAACATCAAAATCAAATGGGCTTCCTCCCCTTCCTTTCAATTATTATCATAATAATTAAAACCTTCAAAGTTTTAGCTCATTTTAAGCCTAGTTCTTTTTTGATATTACAACTTTTAGCAACAAGGGGGGTAAAACAGTAGAGATCAGATGACGATGTCAACCAAATAATTGAGGTTATGATGATAAGTTTTTTGGGCCTGCATGATTGGGAATTCGTCAACCCCAAATCCCAATCCATGCAAACTAAGCAAAAATTGATATGTTCGCAGCCAAAAGGCTATCATATCATTTCCCTGTGGTTGCTGATATTTCCTTTGTTGCATGTGGTGATCCATCAAATTCCCTAGCTTGGTGGAGCCCTAAACTCATATGATGGCCTGAAATTTTTTAACATGTGGCTTCTTTTGCCATGGCTGACCTGCTACCCTTTTCATCCTCACAAAAAAAAAAATATATATTTCCTGATTAGTTCTCTTTTTCCCCTTAGAATACGAAAGTTATGATGATGCGTGTATTTCTGGTGTTGTTTTTTGTGCATACAAATTTAAGGACTACTGTTTGACTTGAATCTCTCTCATCACATATATTGCCACGAACGGACGGCAAAAAGTTAAGTTATGAGGAGACAATAATGAGGATTTCTAGGGAACTTTCGGAAATTTCACGTTCACTTATTAATCCAATGTAAACAAGGTTCGCGAGTTTTTAATTAACATAGAGATGGCAGTAAAAGTTGACAGTACAAAAGCGCATACCACTTTCACATTTACTCAAGAGCTCGAAATTCCTTCTTTTTCTTCTATTGTTTCTTAGGTGAAGACCTTCTTGTACGTTTACAGTAAAATTACGCCTTTTAACTTTGTGCTTTGTGTTCCATCCGATGTGGATACCGAAACTCCCAATCTCAATTCAACCGAAAGGCTGAAAAGGAAATTACAAAATGGGAACAATGTTATAAAATAAAGCTTATAAGTAAATAAATCAGAAGCAAATATAGGGAGAGACTGGTATGTTATTCAACTTCAAACTGATGTACATAATGAACTGAAATATTTTCTATTTATAGAAGAAAGAAAGCAGCAGTGACACTTTTCAGGAAGCATCTGCGAGGCTTTTCAGGAAGCAACTGCGAGCTAGAGCTGCTTGTAAGCTGTTTGCATGATTTGCTTGCAATCTGCCTGTTTATTAAGAAGCCGTTGCAAGTCATCTTATTGAGTTACTTGCAACCTGCCTGCATCAGCTATGTTTACCCTAAAATTTGAGTAACAATTAAACTTATATTGTGGTTTTAAGGATATGTGATTTAATCCAATACCAATTGATAAACAAGGAATTTAAACAGATAAATTAGAGAATAAATAAATCAAACCGGTATGCAAGCCAAATCTCGACCTCGATCTATGGTAGTTTCAAGGTGTGATAATAGGGATGACAAGTGATAAAGCAACTCTGATGAACAGTAAAGTAAAATAGCAAGAAAGTAATGAGTGTATATATTCTTCTCAGTCATTAATGTGTGTTACAAATGGATGGAATCCCTCTTTATATAATAGGGGAGTCCTAAATAAGGTACACTTCTAATTATAGTAGGAAATCATGTTTGACAACTGATCAACCGCCGAGGATCAATCCATTCCGAAATTCACGTCATGGTCTTCAGTCCGTTGGGGATATCTTGCTCTTTCCGTTACTGAATTATACTGGTATCATCTCGAAGTATGCCTTCTTCCGACCCTGGTAAGTGATATCGACCTCGCTCTTGGAAAGGAACGTCGACCCAGAACTTGACGTCCTGGCCTTCCGACATGGTATCACTTTTCCATCGAAAGATGAAATCGGGTAGCCCCAACTTCCACCGTATACAGATAGTCCCCTCGTTTCTTAGAGTAAAATGATATGAAACGACTTAAGCCTCGATTTTCTGTAGACCCCGATAATGACATCATCGCCGTGACATAAGCGGTCAAGGTAACCAAAACGTTACATGTCAGTACAGTTCCCCAAATAATTAATGACTGTCAGTGGGTGGTCGGCCACTAGCGCCATCGAAACGTCGTCGTGGATCTATAAATACCAGTTCTTTATTTGAATCAAAACATTACTTCCATCTTCACCAAGTTTTTCTAAGTCTTTTCCTCTCTCCATCTCTTCTCTTTCACCATCCGTTGAGTCAATTTCGTTAGTACCAAAACCGAATTTCGCCTCTTTCCGCTTCTTCTCATCTGAATCAATCTCGAAAACCTCCAAAACCGTCCCACAAAAGGAGAAAGCTTCTTC